GTCTTGATTTGTTTCTAAACTTCATATATAAAACAGGAACCAAACTAATTCTGGAACTGTTGAGAAGACTGAGATAATACATGTAAAATGTTTACCCAAGTGCCTAAAACTTGATAGCTACTATTAATGAAACTGTTATTACAAATAAAGCAGTCTTCAAACTGTCTTTGTGAGTTAAGAATAGTGAGGATTTATTTTAAATCCTAATCACATTTTAACTCTTCCATATCTAAAACAAAGTCTGAGGAGCTCATGGCAACATGTCAGAGCCCTGAGGTGGGACCCTCAGTGTTTTCTCTTTTCTCCAGGGTGCCCTCCAACCCCACAGCAGCAGGACTTATCCCAACACATGGGTTTTATTTTTCACCTTTCCTTAGGAGACATTTACACTTCCCACCTTGCTAATTTCCTCCTTTGTATATCTGAGAGAGTAGTTCTCAGTGTTAGTGAACAGAAGTACCAACAGATGGGCTTATTAAGAATTAAGATTTCGAAGGGATCACTTCCAGAGTTAATACCTGAGTAGACTGAGGGTGAACTCTAGAAGCTAGTTAAAAAAAAAAAGTCCATAAAAAATGTCCATAGAGTATAGCAAGCATACTTGTTGCATTACATATATTTGCTTTATTTTTATCACCAGGTGTGAACACTGATATTTCTTACATGAGGTAGAAAAACAAGTGAGGACTAAACATCCCCATGGACTTTTATGTCTGATGATTTTGAAAGGAATAGTTTTTCTCAGTAACTATAATTTTATTGATGAGCAAGTTAGGAACGCTTCCCAAAGACTGAAGACAGAATTCTTTATAAAGAATCCTGGAGGGCATTTAAATAAGATAATGTTGTTTCAAAAGACATTCTACAAATCATTAATTTAGATATTAAAATTACCTCTCATGTTCAAAATGACAGACGTCTTGAAGGTGTTTCAGACCTACGGATGTGTGTCAGCATGTTTTTCTTCAGCATTTACTAAGTCTTCTGAGTTCTTATGAAGATCAGAATCACCTACAGAAACAAGCAAACAAAACCAAACAGGCCTTTGAAGCAACTCAGTAAGGTCAGGAGACTCAATTTCTCAATGGCTTTTGCAATCCGTTTTTCAAAAGTACCAACCATTTTCTTTTCAGCCTGTGTATCTAGAGTCATCTTTTCGTGGTTATTTAACTTTTGAAGCTGCACTTTAATCTGCTAACACAGAACCAAAATCAATGAGACATGTTTAAACAGCTATTAGGTCATGTAAAAATGATGCGTGTTTTTCCTCAATGATTTTTAATTGAAAGAAGTTCTTTGTGGAAAAAAATACTCTAATCATCAATGTCTTTTATCACACACTCTTACTTTCTAAAATTAAAAAAAAATGAGAGTAAGAGAAAATATAATGTTCAAAAGAAACTAAAGAAGCTTATAATATTAAAATACCTCAGCTTTTATATAAATCTTGAAGAAGGCTAAAACACAAGCATGGAAAAATGTTCCAACAGTTCTGGGGAGGTTGCAGAGAGACTGTCAAAACTAGAACTAAAACTTAAAATGTACAAAGAACAGAGTCTTACTGCACACAAAGAAAGTAACCAAAATAAGCAGAAATGATTTTTTCGAGTCAATGACACCAAATACTTTTACATTTTAGGAAATATTGATATATGATGAAATGTTCTTTCTTTCTGAAATTTGATTGAAGGTATTCTAACAATCAAACTTTCTACCAATTAACTTTGAGGTTACTCCTTCCACATATATTGTAAGACTGTGTCAGTTCAGTTGTCATAGATTTTTATTGAGGTTATATAATTATTGACCACATACATAGAACTCATAGGGTGCTTTCATAAAGCAAATTTATGTTGTCTCCTATTGTCCTTTAAAAATATATTGTGTTTCCCATTTTCCCTATAAAGTACATACTTTTAAAAATATTTTATTTATTTACTTGAGAGGTAGAGTTGCAGACAATGAGAGGGAGAGACAGAGAGAGAGAGGTCTTCCATCAGCTGGTTCACTCCCCAAATGGCTGCAACAACTAGAGCTACACTGATCCAAAGCCAGAAGCCAGGAGCTTCCTCTGGGTCTTCCACGTGGGTGCAGGAGCCCAAGGACTTGTGCCATCTTCAACTGCTTTCCCAGGCCATTGCAGAGAGCTGCATTGGAAGTGGAGCAGCTGGGACTAGAACCGGTGCCCACATAGGACGCTGGTGCCCCAGGTGTGGCCCACTGTGCCTCAGTGCCAGCCCCTGAAGCACATATTCACAGTTATCTTCTGTACCAAGATCAAAATGTCAGGGAGTCTCGTGACTCTGATTATTTCTGATTGTTCTTCTATGGTAAAAAATATCCTGTGATCACATTAACTTACTAAAGTCTCAACTCAGACATTAGAAGAGGCTGGTAACAAACACCAAACAGCAGAGACAAGACTTCCTTCCCATCTTTGGTTTGTTACAGAACCCAGAAATGGTGTGTGTGTTGGGGTGTGGAGGGATAAGACTGAATTTCTTTCACTTCTTTGTCATTCTCTCCCAAATGGCTCCTTGGGACTCCTGAGCTGCAGCAAAGGAGGAAAGAGCAAGGCGAGCAGCAGAGTCCCCACTTGACTCGCACCACTGTAAGATGGCTTTGTGCCCACTAGACCTGCTAGACGCTTAGAGCACACCTTCTTCTGTGAGCATATTCACGGGCTCTTCAGAAACTCCGTACCAAGGACCCTGCCTGGAGATGATGCACCAGCTTGGTTGGGCAGAGAAAGCTTTGGTTTCTTTACCATGCTCACAGCCCATGGAAAACTGTTGGTTTTCACCGGCTGTCTGCTGAGGTTCCAGCTTCAGAATATAGGTGGGCCGTGGAGAATGTTCACTCATGAGGCCTCCTTGCCTGTGAACTCCTTGAAGAAAGGCTAAAACCCATACCACCTTCTCTCCTGTTTTACAAAGAAATTTTTTTTGTATTGTTGAATGTTGTAATGTTGAATTAGTTTTAAACAGATTCAATATAGTTTGTAGATACAATTCTGAGAGTACAGTGATATTCCCTTCCTCTCTCCCTCTCTTTCTTCCCCTCCCTTCCTCTCCTTGTCCCTTTTTCTTTCTCTCTCTCTCTCTCTTTCTTTCTCTCTCTTTCTTCTTCTTTCTTTCCCTTTCTTTTTCTTTTTTTCCTTCCTTCCTTCCTTCCTCCCTCCCTCCCTTCCTGCCTTCCTTCCTTCCTTCCTTCCCTTCTTTCTGCTTTTGAGATACTGTATTTTCAATTTACATTACAGTAAACAGGCGTAATGCTTCCCCAACTAAAAAGTTTAACAAGTAAAAAGCAAAAAAGACACTAGTTTAGTGGGAATATAGGCAACATCTGTAAACAATAATTGAACGGAAAAATGACTCATCTGTCACAATCTAACTTTATAGATCTCTAAGTAGCAACTAAATTCTGTTCCCCAAATCCCCTTAACCTCACACTCTCCAAGGGTCCTGTGGATGCGCTGTGCTCCAATTTGAAGTGAAGAAGGAAGCATTTCTATTTTTTTTTTAATTTGACAGATAGAGTTGGACAGTGAGAGAGAGAGACAGAGAGAAAGGTCTTCCTTCTGTTGGTTCACCTGCCCCCTCTCAAATGGCCAATACAGCCGGTGCTGCGCTGATCCGAAGCCAGGAGCCAGGTGCTTCCTCCTGGTCTCCCATGTGAGTACAGGTGCCCAAGCACTTGGGCCATCCTCCACTGCCCTCCTGGGTCACAGCAGAGAGCTGGACTGGAAGAGGAGCAACCAAGACTAGAACCCGGCACCCATATGTGATGCTGGTGCCGCAGGTGGAGGATTAACCAAGTGAGCCACAGCGCCATCCCTGAAGGGCACATTTCTATCCCTTCCCAAGTGGCAGAGACCTCTTTCAGAAAACTCTCCTCATAGATCTTTTCTTAACATTTGCATCCTGACCCTTTAATTATTTGTACAGGGTGAGGATTTTAAGCTTCCTATAACTGGCTTTTTAATCTTTCTTGAAATTTCTGTCTCACAACTCTGTTTTATGACATTGGTCATAAGTTTTTAAATTAATTTCCTATCATTGAAAACTAGATAAGAACAGAATGAATATTCTAGGTAGAACAGGACAGCAGAGACCAGCACAGAGCAGAGAAAAACATAAGTAATTAATTCACTCACTAGCTCGCAAAAATGTTAAGAGTATTTACAACAGATAAAGGACACTAAAGTGGGCTTATTACTAAAGATGAAGAAAATAATCAAACTGTAACAATGAAGCAATTACCAAAAAAGAAAAAAAAGGCACATTGAGTCCAAGGACAATTTTGCATATAAAATTAGAAAAGACACAACGGCAGTCTATGATCAACTCAAAACAACAGTTTGGCAGTAGTGAAAAAATGTCTTTCTTAAAAAGTAAAATTCCACATTTTTGAAAAAAAATTATTTTATTTGAAAGGCAGAGTGCTAGAGAGAGAGTGAGAAACACAGAGAATTTTCGACTCTCTGGTTCACTTCCCAAATGGTGTCAATGGTTGGGGCTAGCCCAGGCCAAAGCCAGGAGCCAGAAACTCCACCTTGGTTTTTCATGTGGATGGCAGAGAACCAAAAGTTTGGTCCATCCTCTGTTGCTTCCCCAGGTGCATTAGGAAGGAGCAGGATCTAAAGCAGAGCAAACAGGACTTGAATCAGTACTCCAATATGAGATTCAGGCATTGCACGTGGTGGCTTAAACCACTGTGCCACAACGCTGGCCCCATCCACCTGTTTTCAGTTGTAACACACACATACTTGTTAAGCAATTTCATGGCAAACAGATGGTTTACAAAAATACTGAGAGTCCTCACCTCTCTTGACTTACTAAATCATAAGTGATCTGTGTAAAAAAAAAATTAGATCATAAAATAATGAATAAGAATAAGCTGCTTATTCTTATTCTTAGCAGCAACGGAAAAAATGTAAACATTCAGAGGACAACCACTGTGTTTAATCTCTCACATATTTTATCATTTAATTCTGCTGACAATTTTTTTTTTTTTTTTTTTTTTTTTTTTTTTTTTTTTTTTGCTCAAAGCCACCTACCACATCAGAGACAGCTGGACCTTCAACCTCACGGCCAAGTACTTCACCCATGAGTGAAGAGTTTGGTCATTCATTGCTGACTTTCTGAACCAGAGGAGAAACTTTCTACTGATCTGTGAGAGGAATAGCATTCCTGTGGTCTGGAAACGTACAGTTATGAAGTTTCTATTGGGAAACACGCAGGCAACATGACATTTTTCTTCTTCCTGCTCTAATAAGCTGCTAGGATTTGAAATCCAGAGGTGACTGAGTTACCCAATTGTAAGAATTGTGAGCAGCACTTTTTAAGAGAAAAGATTCTCTTCGTCATTACTCTGTGCAGTGAAGCCTGCAGGAAAAGATAAGCTAAGGAGGGCTTGAATATCAAAGCCCACACAAGTCCTATACTCTTGACGATTCCAAAATAAAGAGCTGCCAGTTCCATGGAGCATGATAGAAATTTGAGACTCCAAGAGTACTGGCAAGTTATTTCATTTAAAATCGGTAAAAACATATGACTGCAATTAAACATCTATCCTTTAAAATCCAATGCGTAAATGAGTGCAAATCTTTCCATTATTTTTGTCCTGCTGAATTCTGACCTCCATCCTGTGACCCCATTGCCAACTACCTCTAACAGATCTTAGCAGTGTCACGTTGCACACACTGTTTTCCTTGCTTGTTCAAACACAGCAAGAGTAATGGATTGCTTCTAACCCAGAGACTCCAAACATCAAAAGTTTCTGTAGATCCATTTTTAAGGTTTATGTTCAACAAATTATTCAGAAGGGAAAACACTATAGTATTTGTTTTCATCTAGGAAAGATGAGAGAAGAGGGTCAGGAAAGCATGTCTTTTTTGATTTTCCTCTGTTTTCACATGGTGACAAACGCCACGTCAAATCTTCACCAAGCTGAGTACATACTTTTCACCAAGTGGGTAACTCTTACAGCAGAAAGATTCAGCAAATGCTGGCAGCATGTGTAATTCAAAATCCTTGGAGGTTTTAGATACCCTCATGCAATTCTGTAAGTGTTGCTAGAAAATGCGTACACTGAATTGATTGGGGCTATCAAATACTCTCCTCAATGTTTTTAATCTTATAATAAACTGATACTATCTTTTAGTTTTAGGTCATCAAATCATAGATGATTTAAAAATTTGGTATCTTTGTTGATTAAGCCCAAGAATCAGTAAAGATGGAAATTGATTCTACATATTCAGCTATCTGTCTTAACTTCTTATTAAAAAAAACTATTTTGATTTTATTTGAAAAGCAGAAAGGAAGAGAGGAAGGGAGAAAAAATGGAGGGAGAGAGGAGAGAGAAAGAGAGTAAGCTGGAGAGAGATTTTTGCAGCCTATTGTTTTTTCCCCCAAAGCCCTTAAAAGCTGAGGTGGGGCCAGGCCAAAGCCAGGAGTCCAGAACCCAATCCTGGTTTCCCAGACAGATGTCAGGAACACTTGAAACATCATCTGCTGCCTTCAGGGCATGCATTAGCAGGATGCTATATCAGAAGCAGAAGAACCAAGACTCAAACAAGGCACTCTCATATGGGATATTAGCATCCCAAGTGGCAACAACCACTGCACCAACAGTCTGCCCCAGACTCTTGTGTTCTTACAAAATTCCTTCTAAGTTATTTCTTTCTTTCCTACACACACACACACAAATATACAAATTGCTCCTATTAATGTAAGCTTCTAATTAATGTAACTTCTAAAAAATGAAAGCAATACAATTAGTTACAAAGTACTTTATTGATTTTTCAATTTTCAGCTAATATTGTGAAGAGCAGTGGGATTTCTACTATTTACAAACTCACATAACAGGATTATTCTCATAGTGGAGGTTAACATCTAAACAGAACTGTGGGGGCTCTATTATCTCTTCAGCAAACTAACAAAATGAGCATCTTGTTTTTGTTTCACTGACTTTATTTGGTGATATTTCTTTTTTTTTTTTTTTTTTTTTTTTTGACAGGCAGAGTGGACAGTGAGAGAGAGAGACAGAGAGAGAAAGGTCTTCCTTTGCCGTTGGTTCACCCTCCAATGGCCGCCGCTGCAGCCGGCGCACCGCGCTGATCCTGGCAGGAGCCAGGAGCCAGGTGCTTTTCCTGGTCTCCCATGGGGTGCAGGGCCCAAGCACCTGGGCCATCCTCCACTGCACTCCCTGGCCATAGCAGAGAGCTGGCCTGGAAGAGGGGCAACCGGGACAGAATCCGGCGCCCCAACCGGGACTAGAACCCGGTGTGCCGGCGCCGCAAGGTGGAGGATTAGCCTATTGAGCCACGGCGCCGGCTCTATTTGGTGATATTTCTATTTATTACTGGTGTTACTGGATTTTCCTTAGTTATCAGACTTGGTCATTACATTTTACAGCAGCCTAACCTAAGATGGAAGAGTGATACAGGAACACAGGTCTCTTCTAAATGAATCACAGATTTAGAGTGATGAGTTAATATTCCTGAGTGTATCTTTGGACTGAATTTCTCCCATTGCTTGCAGCAAGTTTTACTGATATGAACCAAAACTAGTGGAAGTCTCCTAGCATCACTCACTACCAGCTGTCTGCTAAAGAATGGATCTGGGTTGTGTTCTGAAGATGACATTGTTCTCAAATTTGAGCATCAGATTCCTGAAGGTTTTCACCATTGCCTCTTGAAGATTTTCATACTGAATCCCACTTGAAGATATCTTTCATTTTATTTGGAAGGCAGAGAGAAAGGGAGAGAGTAAGAAGAGGGCAGGTAGGGAGAGAGAGAGAGAGAGAGAGAGAGATAGAAGATTTTCCTTTTCCCCTCATGCTAGAGCATTTCTTCTATGGAGAAGGAATCAAATATGAAAATTAAATATATATGAGACAAACATAAACCTGAACTATAATATTTTATACATTATTTCTGGGAATTTCCTGTATTTCTATAGTTACCAAGGGAAAATTCTATTAGCCAAAGTATGAAAATAATCCTACAAAAAGTCAATTTGGGGGAACTAAAGAATCTTGGTTGTATTTAAACTGTAAATTTAGGCATATGTTAAAGGATAGAAAGTAAGAAGGTAAAAACTCTTTCATGAATGAATTGAATTGCCATAGACCAGATTTCCTAAATTAACCAAAGTATATTCTTTTTGAGAGCATCTGGGTCTACAAAACACTCTGTTAAAGAATATTTTTCTCAATTGATAGGAACTTCAATAAAAATATTTAGATAAAGTTTGTTCACTTACAGTTTGACAAAATAAATAGCTCTTTAAATCATTTAAAATAAGCCAGTTTCATTCTCTCATTCACTCAGGAAGGAAACTGAATGGATCTGAGATACTTGGGAGATACAGGCTTTTTCAATGGATGAATTAGGAATGGTAAGGTGATAATTGCATTTTTAATCACAAACAGTTCACCATACAGCAATCCACTTGATTGATGGAAGTGTCCTAATGGATCTCTTATCGTGAGTTAAGCATACTCTCATAACAAAACTGTTTTTGAGTAATTTTTCCCATTATAAATTTAAGGAAGCCTTCTATAAGGGCTCCATAAATAAGGAAGCATATATATGAGCCCTGCTAATAATTGGAATTATTATAGAAAACACCAAGTTTTGAACATTGACTCATTTTGTTCTCATAACATCTCTTTGGACAGACAAATGATCAAACTGAAACACGACGAGATTCAATTTTCAGTATTAAATAATTAATGAGTAGCAGAATTGAATATAAAAGTCAGCTTTTAGAGCCCTAAATCCCAAGTCTATGTCATGTATGATTTAACATCTGCTTGTTATTGTCTTTACTTAGTATAAGGACATTCCTTATATTAGAAATTAAATCTGATAGTATATTATAGCCCATTTTCCCCATTGAAACATGACTGTAGGCATAAACATTCTTCTTTGTGAAAGTATATTTTTAAATTTTATACATCACTCATTCTGAACTAATTAATTTTAGGATATCCTGATAGTCTAGTACAACTAACCATTAAGTCAGCTGTTAGATCATAGTAAAAGAGGATATATAAGGGCAGCTCCTATACAAACAAACAAACAAACAAAAAAACCCAGGATTCCTCCAGGAAGAAAATGACTTTGCTTAAACTGAATCACGCAGTGAAAAAGCCATTTTCAAATCCAACAAAGACAAGTATATTAAATCATTTTAACTCTGTCATTTATTTCTGATTTTATATATATACATATGTGTGTGTGTGTGTGTGTGTACACGTAATGCTGGAAATAAAATATATACATAAAAATATCTATTTGTGAAAAGTTTTATGAATTATTTTTAATGTTAGCAAACCTACTAAAGCATTTATTCAGGAGGATGAATGGAATTCAAATGAAAGATAAGGTTACAAAACACACACAACCTTTTTATAGTTTAGAAAAGGGACATCCAAAGAGAAAAATAAGTGGATAGACTTTATTGGGAAAAATGACAAAATTAGTGACTGGCTGCTCAAAAAATTTATTGGCACTCATTATATTATCTCAGTAAAGAGAAATGCCACAAAATATTATTTAAACAGATATTTAAAGGCATAGTGATGTTGATGTAGTCACCAGATGAATCTATTCCATAGCAGTTTAGTCAGGTCAATCAAGGAATTTGTAGCTGCTATTTATATGGTTCGTGACGATATATTTCCACAAGAATATTGAAATCTCCAAGTCTTTTTGTCAAATTAGAGCTGCTACCAAGCATGAGGCTTTACTTAAAGGTGTTTACTCAAAGAAAAACTCAGGCTTCTGTGAACTGGCTTTTGCTTCTGGAAAAAAGAAAGGTACTTATTTTAACAATTTAGAGAAAATTTTATAATTAGCATTTATAATCAGCCTATTTGTAGGAATTATTGTAAAATTTTAAAGACAAATATAGTTGACATATATTTCTTTATTTTCAATATTTTTTGTTTTGCTACTGAACCCTTTTGTGATTTTTTATATTCATCAACACTGATCTTGAGATGATTCTTTTTATATTTTAATAATGAGGGGCCAGGGCCAGCACCGTGGCTCACTTAGTTAATCCTCCGCCTGCGGCGCCAGAATCCCATATGGGCACCGGGTTCTAGTCCCAGTTGCTCCTCTTCCAGTCAAACTCTCTGCTGTGGCCCAGGAGGGCAGTGGAGGATGGCCCAGGTTCTTGGGCCCTTGCACCTGCATGGGAGACCAGGAAGAAGCACCTGGCTCCTGGCTTCAGATCTGTGAAGCGCCAGCTGTAGTGGTCATTTGGATAGTGAACCAACACAAGGAAGATCTTTCTCTCTCTCTCTCTCACTGTCTATAACTCTACCTGTCAAATAAATTTAAAAAAAAATAATAATAATGAGGGGCCAGTGCTGTGGCGTAGTGGGTTAAGCCTCTGCCTGTGACACTGGCATCCCACATGGACACCTGTTTGTGTCTCTGCTGCTCCACTTCCAATCCAGCTACCTGCTTAAGACCCTGGGAGAGCAGTGGAGGATGGCCCAAGTGTTTGGGTCTCTGTCACCCACGTGGGAGACCCTGAAGAACCTCCTGGCTCCTGGCTTTGACCTGGCCCAACTCTGGCCACTGTGGCCATTTGGGGAGTGAACCAGCAGATGGAACATCTCTCTCTCTCTCTGCCTCTCCCTCTCCATGTCCGTGGCTCTACCTCTCAAATAAATAAATCAATCTTTGGGGGAAAAAAAATGAAGCTTTTTTTTTTTCTCCACTAAAATTGTTGCCTGAATTCTTAGGAATCTCAATTCTGCTTAATTTCACTACAGTAGACATTCTCAGAATGTAACGCAAAATTATTTTGAAAGATATTAATATCATTCACGAACAAATAGTTTACAAGTATTTGGATGTAGTGCTATATCATACAAGGAGATAATATTTTACCTGTAATTCAGTCTAAAATTAAAAATCACGATTCCATATTTTATCATAAATCATATCTATCTCCTATTAATCCTGTTTATTAACACTAACAACAGTAACAAAAACTCCCAGAAATTTCTCCTAGGAACTCAGAGCTAGAGAGGCCAATGCTCTTATACAGGTCGTAGTATGATTTTCAAGTAGAATTTCACTCTACTGTTATTTAATCTTTTGAGAAAACATCAAAAAGTAAAGACTTGTGTGTGTGTCTCACAATTTGTAATCATGCCCAATATAATGCTACTTTAAAAATAATATAAGTACCATATGAGCATTCAGTAGATTCACACGCATTTTGCTAGAATGTACTATGACAATTTTGCAGCTTTTAGAGCAGTTCTTAGCTCATTGAAGGTCAGTTTTCCTCCCTTCACTGTTTATAAGCCTTTACAGTGATTCCTCCATGTTTGAAGAGTTACGAAAATATATTTTTAAAGTACAGTATTGTACTCTGAAAAAATACACTGTGATAAACACTGGAAATTACATACTAAGAAATATGCATATTTAGCAATTTGTCCACAAGTGTGGAATAAATTTTATTTCTGAACACAATATATATCAAAAGTTCTGAGTGTTCCAATTAAAAGGATGAAAAAAAATGGCATTAGATAAAATTGATAATTACTATGGGAGTACCAAGAGAAAGAAAGAAATCTGTAATATCAATACGGATCACCAGTTAGGGTTTTCTTGACCAAATAGGAATGAGAAGATATGTTCCTTGAGTGGAGGAACCTTCTGGAAACACCTTCTTCTCTCCTGCCTACATCTAAGTATGGGTAAGATTTATGAGCTGCTTTAAGATGGATCAGGAAGAGATCACCCCACTTACAAGTCCATCAAAGCTCAGTCTTCTGACAACTCATGCTCCTACTGTCTCAGATCCCCGCTCATCCTACTCCTAAAATGCTCTGGAGAAAACTTTATCTTCATGGAGGCAAGCATCAATTATTAGGGGATGCAGCCCATTGCCTCTACCTTCTTTCCTATGTTCATTGTCCATTCAAATACTAATGGGCAGGACACATACACACAGTGTCACTTAAAATGTCCTTAATTCTTCTGCTATCACAATTTCTCCATCAGCCTGGGCATGTCTTTGGCTCTGAAGGAAAGTTTAGAAAATGTAACTAAAATCACCCTTTTACAATTAACTTCTAGAACATAATCTAGAAATTCCTGGACTTTGAATTTAGTTAAACTAGATGCATATTCCAGTCTTTTCAAAGACTAATTTTATGAATTTAGACAAATAATTTAGGTGCTCTGAGTTTCAATTGCATCAGGCTATAATTCTTGTGGAGAAATTGTAATACATTTGTGTATCGATGATGAATGAGTGAATAAATAAATGATAAACAATTTCATTCCAAAATTCAAAATTTTAATATTTGCATAAATGCACGGATGAACCCATTTGAAAAATCCATGGATCAGCTGTTCTAAGATTAGACAGGAGTAAATTTAAGAAAACAGTTATGCAGTCTCTGGGGTAATGTTCCACAAGAAATCGTTTCCTCTTGCAGTGTTCACTCCCATCACATTTTCTGTGTCTACATGAAACTATGCGAAAGGGTGAGAAAGGTGGATTTATTTGTAATGTGTATACGGACCTCCAATGTTGGGTGACTTATCAAGTTCCCTTAGACCTCAGTTATCACCTTGGGAATAAGGTGACAACATCTAATTCACAAGACTGCTTGGCTGACTAACTAGCGTGACTATTCTGCTCAATATGTCACCTGGAACATAAATATGTACTTAGTAAAATATGAATCTACATTCTGTTTGACATTAATATCAATATAATTATAACATTACTTATTATACATAATATATAATACTGTATTTTGAAGTATTTTAAACACTGTAGAGCCTCCTTATTCATAGTTTCACTTTTTCACAATTTCAGCTACCTGAAGTCAACTGTAGTACAAAAATATTAAGTGGAAAATTCAGACATAAGTAATTTGTAAGTTTTAAATAGCTCATTGTTCTGGGAAGAATGCTGAAATGTCATACAGTCTCACATCCCACCTGAGGCAAGAATCACCTTGTTGTCCTGTACATCCATGCTATATCCATCACTCACAGTAGCCCTCTCTATTATCAGATTGGTTGTCACCATATAGCATTATTTGTGTTCAAGTAAACTTTATTTTACATAAAAATGGCCACAAGACATAAGAGTGGTAATGTTGGCAATAGATATGCCAAAAAGAGGTCATAAAGTGCTTCTTTTAAGTTATCTTGAAAAAAAGAAAGAAAGAAAAGTGAGTACGGTAAAAATTGAGAAAGAAAATTTGGGGGCTGGCACTGTGGTGTAGCAAGTAAAAGCCATCATCTGTGGCTCCAGGATCCCATATAGGTGCTGGTTCGAGTCCCTGGCTGTTCCACTTCCAGTCCGGTTCCCTGCTAATGCTCCTGGGAAAGCAGTGGAAGATGGCCTAAGTCCTTGGGCCTCTGCACCGGCGTGGGCGATTTGGAAGAAGCTCCTGTCTCCTGGCCTCAGGTTGGTCCAGCTCCCTCATTGTGGCCAATGGTGGAAAATTCTCTCTCTCTCTCTCTCTCTCTCTCTCTCTGCCTCTCTCTCTCTCACTGTAACTTGCCTTTCAAATAAATAAATAAAACCTTATAAAAAATTTTGAGAGATAACATCCACATAACTTTTATTATAATATAGTATTATAATTATTCTATTTTATTATTATTTATCTTTCTGTGCCCAATTTATAAATTAAATTTATCATATGTATGCATGAGAGGTGTTCAAAAAGTTCATGGAAAATGCATATTATGAGAAATTTATGTGCCATAATAATCTCATCCTAATTGTTATAATATGCTGGACGAGATCTAATTTGAGGCACTAAGAAGGATGAGATCAGTTTTAAAAGAACCTCAATAAAGAGTAACATATGCTCTACTAAAATTGAAGCAATAACAACCATCAGATTTATGATTACGCTTAAAATGAAGATTGGTGAAATCACTAATGTTCTATGAAAAAGTTATGAGGATGATGTTCTAATGGAATCAGAAGTTTATAAATGGATACTAACTTTAAGAAAAATATTGAAGATGAAGCCCAAAGTGAAAAATCAGCAAAATCAATTTTTGAGGAAAATTTAATCTTGCTATGGGCTGACAATGAACAGCAATAACAACCACCCGCACCACAGACAATGACATTGGCTCAGCTGACACATTCTGAGTGAAAAATTAAAGGGGGATATATTTTCTGCCTTATGAGTGCTAGAACTGTTGTGCCCAGGTCGGTTTCAGACAAGAGCTGTGCTTTCAATGGAAATTTTAAACAAGCAGAATCAAGAACTCTGAAATATTTCTTCATAGAATTGGAGCAAGAGATGAAACATGGCTTTACCAAAATGATCCTCAAGACAAAACACAATCAAAGCAATGGCTACCAAGAGGTGGAAGTGGTTTAGTCAAAGCAAGAGCAGACTGATCAGAGAAAAGGGTTTGGCAATAGGTTTTTGGAAGGCTTAACGTGTTTTGCTTGTTCACTTTCTGAAAGGCCAAAGAATGATAACATCTGCTTGCTAGGAGAGTATTTGGGAAAGGTAGTCAAAGCCTGAGCGGAAAAACATCAGGGAAATCTCATCTGGGCAAGTCCTCCTCCACAATGATGCCCCTGCTGATTCTTCACAGCAAAATGAGAGCAATTTTGTGAGAGTTTCAGTGGAAAATCAGTAGGCATCTGATTTGGTACCTTCTGATTTTCCTTTTTGCTAACCTAAAGTGTTTTTTTTTTTTTTTTTTTTGGACAGGCAGAGTTAGACAGTGAGAGAGAGAGACAGAGAGAAAGGTCTTCCTTTTTCTTTTGGTTCACCCC